AATAATATGCATACATCAAATAATAGTATATTACTTTATGAGGCGGAGAAGCGCGTAATAGAGGGCAAGTCAAGAAAAGTCGCTTCTTTGCCGAATAAAGTATACTATTGTTTCTTCAAACGTAGCAATTTTCAACCATAAATAGTACAATTCATACGCTATTTTTACTCGAAATAACCTGTGACAACTATCAAAGTCGTCTTATAGATGTTAGAAATTAAAATAATTAAGTCGTCGGTAGGATTTGCGTCTCCCTGGTTACAGTTGTTTGACAGTTGTTTGCAATTATTAAAGACAGTTTATTGTTGTTGCAACCGCAAGCGCAAATTTAGTGCGAAAATGGAAAACCTAAACGAAATTGTGTCCGCGGCTAATGATGCAGTAGCACGTTTGGGGCCCTCCAAGTCCGGAATAAAGTATCGGTTAGCGTACAAGCACTTCCAAGAGTGGTGCGATACAAGAGGAGTACGGCAAGTTACCGAAGACGTTTTACTGGCATATTTTAATATAATGGAAAATGAAAATAAATGGAAAACTTCTACAATGTGGTCACGACACTTTATGATAAAATCCGAGTTAGTTATTAGAAAAGATGTGGATATAAGCAAATTTTTAAAGTTACGTGCTTTTCTGAAAAAAACAAGCGAAGAATATACTGCAAAGAAGTCTAAAGTTTTTACTAAAGACGAGTTTGATAAATTTTTGTTTGAAGCGCCAGATAAGTTGTATTTAGGATTAAAGGTAAAAAAATTATATTGCAAAGCATGTAGTATACCCTACTAAATTATAATAATATTTCAGATTGTTTTGTTAATTAGGGTTACCGGCGCCTGTCGATGCGACGAAATAGTAAAAATGAAGACTGTGGACATTGAGGATAAAGAAAATGTAATAGTTATTAAAATCCCAGACACTAAAACACGACAAATTAGATCTTTTACGATAATTAGTCAAAACTACATTAAACTGTATAAAAAATATCACTGCGGCCTGAAAATTTCACAGGAAACCGATTTTTTATCAAGTAGCAAATGGAAAGTGTTACCGAAGCGTCATGGGAATACATTTGATCAGCGCAGTAGCCCAAAAAGTAGCTAGTTATTTAAATTTAAACGATGCAAGAGCATACACGGGTCACTCTGTACGACGAACTTCAGCAACACTTTTAATTGATGGAGGCGGAAATCTAGAATACCTCAAACGACATGGGGGCTAAAAATCAAGCACGGTTGCCGAAGGATATATAGAGGATTCAATAAGAAATAAGAACGATAATGCTCAAAAAATTTTAAACTCTCATGATTCGCCATCGGAAATGATTGCTGAAAGTTGTTCTCGACCATCAGTAACATCAACAATTACCAATGCGTATCAAGAGTCGGGAACATTTTTGCATGGTTTCAATTTTGAAAATGCCTCATTAACTAATTGTATTTTTAATATTACTATAAATAAAAATGTTAATAATGTTTAATTGTTGTTAATGACATTTGTATATGTGATTTGTATATGTGCTTTGTGACATGTTTCATATTGTTGCCATGAGAACATTTTTCCCTCCGCCGTAAAGAAATGGAAAAAGAACTGCTGCCGGCGGAGACATCAAACTTTGATAGGATCAAGTTAGATAAGTAATGTCATCATTATTTGACGTTTGAAGAAAAACATAATTTACTAAAACAAACGCTAATTGTTAAGTATTTGAATATTGTTATATTTACAACCGGCAACGCTGGCAACATTGGTTCTGCTTCTGCCCACAGCAGCCGCTATTTATGACAGCCGACGACTCGCAGAAAGAAAAAGAAGAAGAAAAAAGACTCGTATCTAACCTAATTCACATCACCACGCCACGCATACTATATATTTTTTTGAATCTTTTGTTCAGTTTTTCGTTGCATTATAACAAATAAACTTAGTAAAGTCCAGTTATTCATTCCAAAATTAATAGGCCTTAGGTGGCAACAAACACTAATACTTAAACAAATATACGCAGATTGATTAGTTAAATTGCTTTTTTTCTCAATTTTAATTCTGCACACTTGTCAATTAGTTTGTTATAATTAATAGAGATATTTAATGACACTTTTTCGATATAAAATAATAATCAACTATTAAATTTTTTTAACCAATACATATTAATCTTAATTTTTTTATTCTGGCCATTACTGAGAATGAACTTCAACTGCTTGCATTGTTCATTGGAAGGATTAAATAAATTCTAAGAATTGTGTTTCAATTAGGAATATCGGAATAATATTATTATTTTCCTGAATAAATGATCACATGGATACAGGCCAAATAATATTTTCTTTACTTATAAAAGTCTTGTAAAATTTTTATTATAATACTGCATTTTTCAGTTCTGCTAGCTTTAAATCTTGTTCATAACATTTTAATTACTCTATTAAAGAGAAATCTTGAGGAATTCTTTTGAATTTATTAGTAATAGTTATATATCCCTCAGACATGTATTTATTATTAAAGAATCGCATACAACAAAAAAAAAATTAATTTTAAAATGTTCTTTGCCAGTGCATATTATTTCATGTTCTAGAATTTGATCTTGAAATAGTTTTCGTATTTTGGGCAGTATTTTTATTATTATTTTATGCAATATCTTTTATATATATATATATATATATATATATATATATATAATGAACCAGAAGTATTTGCTGACCACGTAAGGAAGTAAACTTTAAATATTGGGTATGCAGCAATAAAAATGAAAGGTGTACTCTTTTAAATTTTTATTCCAAGCTTTCGGACATTGGTTATGTCCTTCATCAGGGAGCTACAAATGTGATGAATAATTTTTACAAATTTGTATAATTAATTAAAAATTCGATACTTTCAAACTTAATGAGGTTGTATCATAAATGATTTTATAAAAATTGTTGATAAAATTTATCACAGTCTGTTGAGCTAAAACCTATTCCTATATTTAAAATTTTAAAAAATTACTTAACATTCACACAAACTTAATTATTTATACACAAATCTATGACATTGATATTGACATTGGCAAGTGAAAATCTCACATCCCTAATATCAAGCAACTGCTAGTACAACAAATTATAGGCTTATTATTAGGTATATCTTGGAAATATAAATTATTTTATATTTGTTAATTTCATTAGGAAGTGAAACTTCAACCTGTCAATGTTTTAAAACAAAGCCTATTAAATTAACATAAATAAATAAGGTCGTAATTTTAAAAACGTTACAATTTATTGTGATTTTGTTTTGTATGACCCCAGTATCTGTGTGTAAACAAAAATTATTAAATTTAAACAAACTAACTTTGTAAAAAAATAAATTCCTCAAAAATGAACTTTTTAATTACTTAAATGTCAATTGATAAATTATTGTTTGTCTTATTGTTGCATTTGCAATAATTTTTTAAAATTTTAAATATAGGAATAGGTTTTAGCTCAACAGACTGTGATAAATTTTATCAACAATTTTTATAAAATCATTTATGATACAACCTCATTAAGTTTGTAAGTATCGAATTTTTAGTTAATTATACAAATTTGTAAAAATTATTCATCACATTTGTAGCTCCCTGATGAAGGACATAAAAAATGTCCGAAAGCTTGGAATAAAAATTTAAAAGAGTACACCTTTCATTTTTATTGCTGCATACCCAATATTTAAAGTTTACTTATATATATATATATATATATATATATATATATATATATATATATAATATATATATATATATATATAATATATTTTTAAGTAACTTGCAGCAGGATGTAATTATGGGGCAAGTTTTCTTTCCTTTAATTAGTATTATATAACATGTACCAAAGCCAAAGCTTGTCTCAAAGTAAAAAAAAATTTTGGTATTGCCTCCGACTAATATCATAGAACAGTCTGTTGGATAGGGAGAGAAGCGAAAGATAAAAAGAGCTTACAATATAGAGGACATAAATGGATGGGTGATAAAACGGAAACAGGGGTGGAACGGACACATTAATGGAATGACAGAGGATAGGATAGTACAAATAGAACGAGATAAGTCACCAAATTGACGAAGAACTATTGGAAGACCCAGAAAAAGATAGTACGATAATTTAAACAATTTATTAGGCAAATATTGAAAAAGAAACAGGCTCTAAAGTTTCCGTACAAGAAGAAAGAACAAGAACGGGAAAAACATGTTGTGTAAATATTGATTATGGATAATATATTATCCATAATATATATGATGGATAATTTGACCCCTCCTTCTATTCAAAAATTATTAGTGGGTTGAAACGCTCAACAGGGGGATAAAGTGGCAAGAATTGTTTTTGCTTAAAATTTATTAGCTCCAATGCAATGAGTTTTTATCTTTCCCACTTATTTATATAGGAAGTAATTGGCTGGGTAATAAAAACCAAATTTTTGCGATCAAAGAAAAAAATTTGTATATCTGCATTGTAGACTTCCAGAATTGTTAAATTCTTATGAACGTACAGATAAAGTATTCTACAATATAGAACCTAATGGGATTTAGATTAAAATTAAAATGTACTTTAAAACTAATTTTGATATCAAATTTATATAAAAGCTAAAATAGCAGCTTACACAAAATAGTTTTGTGGCACTGAAGAACTTACGTTTATGACTTTACGTTTGCTATATTTCTACATAATTTCTTAGCTTCTGGAGCTGTACGTAACAATTACCAATTTAAAACTTCACTGCTTTTTAGTTTTATTTTTAAGTAATAGATCGACAATAATATTTAACACTTTTATTCTAGCTCCTTTTGTTGAGTTGTAGCTTAGAACAATTCTCAAAATTTTCGAAATACTGTTGATAAAACCCGATAACATAGGATGATCAACGCATAGATGAAACCTTAAAAAACTGATAAACTAAATTGTTCTTTGGGTATAAGAAAAAGACTTTTATTAAATTAACATGTCAACATGTGATTTAATTAAGTATATATATCTAAGTAAAACATATCTATTTTAAAACAAATAGTTATATTATATTTAAAGACTGCAACCAGATTTAGCAACGATTTCAGCAGGGCATTTGACTTGTTGGAAATTCATTTTTGGATTGTCAGCATTTTGGTAGAAATCAAATCTGAAGTAACATCCAGCTTGTAAATTTGCAGGAAGAGTATTACATTCGCCTCTGTTGTGAACTCCACCATATTGGTCACCCCAACCGCTCCATGGGGCATTCCATTGGTCGTGACAACCTTGTGTGAAAATTCCAACACCACCTCCGGGAAGAGCAATGTCAAAATGATTTCTGCCCAAATCAGCACCAGTATTTGTAACCTGTAAATAGAGGTGTAATAAATATTTTGTCCAATAAAATCCAAAAAAATCTTTGATTTTAAAAAAATCTTACTTGTACGATCATTTTCTTGTTTGCAATTTTATCGGTGAAGCTAAGTAAGAAGCAAGCGCAACATAAGTTAACATCAACTCCTGAAGTAAAAGATGCGGCACCAAAACCATATGCCAAAGTACTGTTTACTGCCCAGGGTTGTTGACTGTTGCACATGTAAGCTTTACCTCCATCACAACCTAAAATAAAAGATTAGGTTACTTTATTATAATATGATACGTACTCTTTCTAAATTGGCGCGGTAAAATTTACTTTACCTGATTTTACATCAGCAGCAAGTTTATTTATTCCAGATTTATCACAGGATGCAACCGGTACCATGTTAGGAGTCTTAATATTGGCTTTCCATGAGCAGGAAGGTTTGCAACAATCCCAATAACGAGTAGTTGTTCCCTGTCCACTAATTCCTTTCTCAATTATTTCAATTTCTGGACTTTGTTCTAGAGGGCTAGCTACTGCAAGGGCCACAACTGAAAATATATAAGGAATTAGTTAGCAAGTGAAATATTTCAAACTACCAACGACAATCAGCTTCTCAGCTATAAACAGAAACGTCGAGTATAAAAAGTCTAATTTTAGAATCATGCCTATTGTTCTATTTATAGTCATTGACTATATTTTTAAAATATAATAAAGTATTATTAATTTTTTTTATTTGCATAAAGTACCTCGGCAACTGCAGCTATTGGTACAGGAACACTAACATTAAATAATAATTATATCTCTTAAAATAATGTCTATTAGGTTAAAGCTTAGGCCGATTGTGGCATAGACATATAATACAAGATAGATTGACTGCTGTAATACAGTCGCGTTCCCCAAGTGCGACAGAGAAAACTGGTGCAAACCAGTCCCTGCATCTCTGTCTAATGGGCTGGATTTATCGACCACATGATCTTCTCATTGGTAACTTAGGTTACGTGGTCGACAAACCTGGTAAATTAGAAAGAGATACAGGGACTGCTTTGCGTAAGATTTTTTGTTATATTGAAGAAACATGTTGGTATTGCAACAATCTTCTTCTTCTTTGAGTACTGTGCTCAAGTTTTAGGCGTGGGTAGCTTCCTAGACGATTTGACCATATCGATCACGATCTTGCAAGGCATGTAATAACTCATCTGTTGATAAGCAAGTCCATTGACGAAGGTTTCGGAGACATAAGTTTTTCTGCCTACCAATTCCTCTTTTTTTGTCGATCTTTCCGTAAAATATCAACTGCATTATCCTGTATCTGCTTCCTCTCATTATATGCCCCAGATATTCAAGTTTTCTCTTTTTTATCATCTTTATTAAGTCACTTTTACCTTGACCTACTCTGTCCAAGACTTCTCTGTTTGAAATGTGTTAACCCCGTGATATTCTCAGCATTCTACGATATAACCACATCTGGAAAGCATTTTTGTTCATCATGTTAACCTTCATAATCGAGATTTCACATACGTATAGTAATACAAAATACACATAACATTTATGAAACTTAATTCTCAGCTGTAAGTTTAGCTAAGCATTGCACATAATAGATCTAAGTTTTATAAATGCTCCTTTTGCATTTTCTATACGAGTTTTATTATCTCTCTTCATCCGGATTTAGTGTCGTGTGTATTCAACATATTTAAAAGGTATTTAAACATTTAATAGGTATTTAAAATGGTTAACTTTTGTTATCGGTTCATTATTGACAATTAGTTGTTCAGCGCTGAGGTCTTGTTTACTAACCACAAGTAACTTTGTCTTTGTTGTATTTATGCTTAGTCCGTTATTAAAACATTCTCTAGTGACTCGATCTATAAGGAATTAAAGATCTTCGATACTTTCAGCCATGATCGATTCGAACTCCACATTGTACTTTCAAGGCTTCAATAAAAGTGACTTCTGAATAAACGTTAAACAAAGTTGTGGACAACACACAACCCTGTCTAACACCTCTTTGTATACAAATTTTGTCTGTTTCTTTGCCGTCTACCAGAATAGAAGCTTGTTGATTTCAACATAGATGTTGTAAAAGTCTTAAATCTTTATAATCTATTCCAGTTATTTCTAGATCTCCAAACAGCCTACCATGTTGAACCCCATCAAACGCCTTCTTAAAATCTATAAAACAGATGTAAATTGGTTTTTGTACTTCCCATGATCGTTGAAGTAGTGTTAGCATTGAGAACAAAGCTTCCCTTGTTCCCAATCCTTCTCTGAAACCGAATTGTTTATTTATAATTAATTTAAAGTCTTTACATGATGATGTATTAGGTTTTTTTCGAAGTGAGATAAATGTAGACTCCAACCATATTTGTGGCAGTGTTCCAGTTTCGCATATGTGGTTATAAATATTTGTAAGTTCTGGGACATTGTCGTCGTGTAGAATTGCAACAGTCAGTCTATCTTATATTATTTATGTCTATGGCTTGTGGTAAAACTAAGCGGTTTTTAGAAACTATATAATTTTTGTAATCTCTCTAGGGTTGTTGAGCATATATTCACTGTTCGGCTATGAGAACATGGACAAGGAGGTGAGAGATCATGTGCAAAAGCAAATAGACTGACAGGATGCCTTAATAAAATTATATATCGAAATCAACATAATAACACTAAGATAAAGTGAAGAATTTACAAAGCCACTGTAATACCAATAATAAAATATGCATAAGAAACAATTTAATATAACCGCCAGAAAATTTAATATGTTAATTTCCCCAAAAAAATGCATAGTTTTAACATAAAATTTACTAAGATATTAATTGAAGCTGGTCAGATAATAAAACAAGTGATGGAGTTTAAATATCTAGACATCACATTCTCTAGCTACGGAAAGCTCGAAACTGAAGTGGTAGATCAAGCAAATAGAGCAAACAGAGTCGCAGGTTTTCTGAATGAAATAGTACGGAGAAATAAAAATATCGGGAAAGAAATAACTAGTAGAATTTACACAACAGGTGTTAGACCAATAATAACATACGCGGCAGAAACACGACCAGACATGGAGAGGAAAAAATAAATGTTAGAAACAGCAGAGATAAAACCCCATAAAAATTGATGGTAGGAGACTATGGGACAGAGCTAGAAGTATATATATATATATATATATATTATATATATATATATATATATATATATATATATATACGACGTAGGAGTAAGATGGAGAACATCAAGGACTGGGTAAGGAATAGAACCGTATACTGGAACGATTATATAAGCCGAATAAGAAAAAGGAGTAGTAAAGACAGCAAGAAACAATTCCCCAATAGGAAGACGACAAAAACGATAGAACGACAACTTACGGGAGGCACATAGAAAAATAGACAGAGTTATGTCTACATAAAAAGAATAAGAAGAAGAAGCATGAAAAACAAGATCTGATACATCTACCTCATACAGACTACTGAAAACAGTAGAAATGGGAGTACTGAGAATAACTACTGGAAATACTCTCAAAGATCAAAATCAAAATAAGTAAAGAATTTGTCACGAAACAGAAAAACTAAGATAAATTACCAACAGCTAGAAGAAGTATCTGACGACCGCGCAAAATATGGAGTGACAACCTTTCATAGAGGTATCAATCCGCCAATGAACAAGCAAAATTGCTCACAAAGAGAAAGATGAGGAAGAAGAAAGGACCTGCATAGTGTTTTGGCTCCACGAATAAATTCTCCTAATAAAATTTGGCTCCTGATTTTGAGGAAGAAATTGAAAGAATATACCGTTGGCAAGAACTTTAAATTTTAAGGACAAGGTATTTTCTGTTAGAAAGAATCGTACCATCTAAATTATAGTAGGAGAATTATTAATTAGTGCATTTTAGGAGTTTGAATCAGAAGCGCTTTTAATGTCAAATTTTGTTTGCTTGAAAAATGTGGGTTTAAAGGTATTTTTTAAACATTTAAAGAGTTTCTATATGGTTTTATAGACCTTAAGATATTATTTTTTTAAATATTTACACTGTTTTTGAGAAAAATGGTAATATTTAAGGAGATAAGGATTAGGTTTTCAATGCAATAAAAATATAAATGATATGTCAATAATTTTTTAGTGTAGTGGTAAACCAAACTACACTAAATAATTTTGCACCATGTAGGTTTTACATATCTTACATATATTGCTCATCTTATCTTGCATGTTGTATCTTACATTTTACATATTTTACATCTATTGCACAAAACAGGAAATCCCCCATGAATAAGAAAACTACAGACCTGTAAGTCTTCTTAGTCACCCATACAAACTCTTTACAAAAATAGTAAATCGTCTTGAGAAAAAACTTGATTTCTACCAGCCAATAGAGCAACGGGATTTCGTACCGGATTTGGAACAAATAATCACCTACAGGGCATTAAAACGGTAATAGAAAAGACTATCTAATACAATCGACCACTCGTTCTGGCTTTTGTCGATTTTCATGAAGCCTTTGACACAGTAGAATTTGACAAAATCCTAGAAGCACCACAAGCATGCCGCATTGACTACCGATATATGTACAAGGTTAATTTACAATACATACAAGAACGCAACTATGTCGTTGAAACTACATGAAAATACAGATCGCATCCCAATCGGCAGAGGAATCCGACAGGGTAACAGTTTATCTCCTAAACTGTTTACCGCAGTACTAGAATATGCTTGTAAAAAAACTTAACTAAGAAGAGAAGGGCCTGAATATTAATAATAGAAGATTAACAATTATGAAATTCGCAGACGACATAGTTTTGTTCTCGGCTAACCTCAAGGAGATATGTACAATGCTACATGAACTTTAGTTACTGTGTGCCAGTGTGGGTCTTAAAATAAATATCTCCAAAACAAACTTCATGACAAAACTAGTACCTAGCGGAAATATCAATATTGAAACAACGAAGTAGAGCTGATTGAAAATTACATATATCTTAGACACGAAATAAGAATCACAAGAGACAAATAAACATGAGAACTACGAACAATACACGTAGCATCTGCAGCCTATGGAAAACTCAAAGACATCTTTAAAAGCGATATACCAATTTCTTTTAAACGTAAAACATTTGACTAATGTGTGTTGCCTGTGATGACCTATGGTGCCGAAAATTTTAACGGTCACAGCTACAAGTTCTAAAACGCTGCAAATGGCTAAGAGGAAAATGGAAAGATCAGTGCTGAGTATATCGCTTCGTGACCGAGTTAGAAATGAATACTTAAGACGAAGAACAGGAGTTACCGATGTCATTTCCCGAATTGCCATACTGAAATGGAATTGGGCCAAACACGTCCCCCGAATCAGTGATGAAAGGTTGACGAAGAAATTGCTTGAGTGGAGGCCGAGGTTAGACAAAAGAAGTAGAGGAACACCCCCTATACGTTGGACTGATGATCTCAAGAACATGTCAAGAAATTGGATGAAAAGTGGCTGCGTATGAGGTTTTACATACCTACCATGTTTTATTTTGATATTTAGAGAATAACTATAAATTTCGTATTTTTGCAGATTTTTTATTAATAAATTTTTTGTACCTACTGAAATATGAGAAATAAAAATTATAAAAATTTAATCTAATTTGATAAATATATAGCAAAATATTAAAGATTAAAAAAAACGAATGCTAGTAAAAATTAGTGGAATTCGTTCACAATATCCTCATCATGTAAAATAATATTTACATATAACTAACTAAAAGAATAACATAGAATAACCAATCTTAAAATCGATCTTAGTAATTTTGACCAAATAAATGAATTTCATGATCAATTTTATTTACTAAATTTGTTTAGTTAAGTTAAATTGTAGTTTCAAAAAAGATCATTTAACTACTAAGTTAAGGTTTTAATAACATTAACGAACAAAGTACGCTTTGAAATAAAAATACAAAAAAATGTATTTGTCAAAAATTTTTAATAACATAAAATTAGTATAATTGTGTAATAAAAACTGGTAATATTGTTGTAGTTACAAAATATTTATAAACAACTTTTATTTTTCAAATATGAATTTTTTAAACCAACTGTTTACTAGATTTAGACACTGTTTACTAGCTTTAAACATAAGACATTCTACAAAAAAGCCTTTGTAAAACTTTTAAATTACTTCGCTCCTTGCAATGTAAGGGTTCCTTGCAATTAATACCAAAAACGGTTTGAAGGGTGGAAATAAACAGACAAGTTGTGGTACATTTAATAGAGAGTCTTCATATAAATCCATACCAATTGAGCAATAATATAAATTAAATATATAATAATATAAATACCTAATTGCAGCAAAGCTAACAACACTTAGAAAAATTGATGGAAGGCACTTTGGAACAGAGCTAGAAGTACAGATATACGATGTAGATGCAAGGTGAAGAACATCGAGAACTGGATAAGAAATAGAAGAGTGGAATGGAATTATCATATAAGCTAAATGATAACAAATAAAGTGGTAAAGACGACAAGAGACAGTTCCCTAATAGGAAGACTATCAGTAGGAAGACCAGGAAAACGATGAAGCGACAACTTTCTGGAGGCATATTGAACAACAGACAGAGTCATGTCTATATAAAAACAATAAAAAGAAGAAAGATATATGAAAAAGAGTCGTTGTCAATTAGTATATCAAGAAAACTGATAAAAAACGAAAGAGCGCAATATTTCTTATTTAAAAACTTAATTAAGATTCGTCATTGTATTGATACGAATAAGAATGGGAGAAATAATTACCAAATAAAAAATCAGTATGTATATAAATATCAAATTATTAGTTATGAAGGTTTTTGTTTTGAGTGTTTGTCAAAATAATTTCATTTTATTTTTCAAAAAATATGAAAAATAATCATATTTTTTCTAAAAAGAAATTAAATTTTTACCACATATTTTAATAAAAGAAAAACATTTGTTGGTAAAATTAAAAATACATTTTAAAATCTTCAATAACTTACGGGATGAAAAAAGAAGTACAGCGATCTTCATGTTGCCTATCTTAAAATACAACTTCGCTATCCCAGTGTGCTAGGCATAATATATAGTAAAATATTATCTCAAAATGGTCCTTTTACCAAATTTTATTACATATCTTAAGTGAAATCACTCGAATCCAATGATAAAATCTTACTATTGTACTATTGTAATTATATTAAACAATAGGGGTCATTGTCAAGGTTAACACGGGCTTATGTATAATATTCTTATGTACATATACTTAACGTGTAGATGATATCTTATGTCTGAGATTTGGCTCAATTCTTAATATTATGTGTTTCTTTGTTTTGAAGCTTTTTTTCATTATGTTTCTGTGGTTTTCCGAGTTTGAATCAGCGTTAAGTTGTTTTAGTTTTTAGAAAAAATATTGTTTTGACGAGTTTTCGTCAAGGCCACATCTTATTCCAGAGACTAGACGCGACACCATCAGACGCGAAATCGAACGGGTGATCCATAACCAAGACCAAGTTGCAGACCAAGTCCCTAATGAAATCCCTAATGAGCAGATTCCTGAGATTCTCATACAAGAAACTCAACCTAATATTACACAGCAGGACAATAACGAGTTGCACGATAGTCTGGCAAACGAAATGGCGCGCGCCGTACAAGAGTTTAGTGGAACAAACCCACTTAGCAGACCACCGCTACCAAAAATAAACTCTTCCAAGAAAATAGGAGCGCTGTTACAAATTGTGAATACTGAAGCCCAATTATATCCCAATTATATCACAGAAGCCCACACATTGGAATATTTGCATATCGTCGATGACCTGGCAATTTCTCCTATCTGCATTTTTTATGAAAATGAGTTATCGATGAATTCGGAATCTGCTTACACCAAAGATTCGTCCGTACAAGTCCTAGGAACGAGAAAAATGTCTAAATATATAAAAACGCTACTCGTAATTTCTCCTATATCAATTCACGCGGTAAACTATATGCAAAATGTCCTATCTTGTCAGTTTGTATGGTGTTGTCATAGGGTATTGCATGCTAGTAGACGATGAGTTGTTTTTCAACGAAATACGATATTTCTGGTAAGTTTCACAGGATATTATTTACATATTAATGGTAATATTATGTGATTATAAAATTTAAAATACTAAGATTCTAAACTAAAACGATAAACATAGACGAAAATCTAGCTTTTATAATTGTTTTCAGATAGGAGAATTTGCAAGTAGGCAACAAACGGCGATTAACTAATAGGAGAATTTTTTTTGTCTCAATAATTGTATAGTAATCATGTCGAAGAGAACTTTGCGTATACTTGCAAAGGCTAACGAAAACTTGATTGTATATAGAAGCGACCAAATAGAAACTCTACTAGTAAACCAACTGACAAACTCTGATGAAATCGACGCATGGTAAAACCTTAATATAGAAAATACGCCTCAGTTATGCTATTAGACGAACCTCTGTCTAAAGACAGTCATACTATTACTACGCTTACAGCAATGCAAAATTGTATGGAGCTGGAAAACTATGACTTAATAATATAATGATTATAATAATAATTGTGTTATACCAAGTGTATCTAAAGAAATGCATATTTTTAATAACAGCAGTTGTGATACCAATAATTCTATAAACCTCGTGTTAGATAATTTAACAAGGAAACAAATACTATCGCCAATTGAACAAAATAAAAGGGTCGTATCTCTTGTGCCATGAGAATGTTTTATTGACGAAGACGAGACTAATGAATATACAAATATGAGTAATGTTCAAGAAAATCTGATGAAAACAACCAGTGATAATGAAGTTACCATGAAGAAAAAAAGAAAGCTTGGTCAGAATAAAAATTAATGGAGAAGATACAGAAACAAAAAACTTCGAATGGAAGGTAAAGTATACATGGGTTTAGTAAAAAATTCGGAAAGATTAAGCAAGATATACAAAGAAAAGCGAAACCTTTAAAAGAGGCATGTACGTCAGTAAAATGTTGAAATTCCAAATTAAGATATTGCAAGGAATTTACAGAACAGTGCAGAAGTCATATTTTTAAGAACTTTTGAGGTATGACTTGGGATCAACGTTAGGTCTTTGTAGCATCTCATGTATTTAAAACTGAAACATTTAAATTAAACAAGGAAAATTCAAGAAGGCAAGGTACGTACACTTGCTACTTACATGACGGGAATGAAAACTTATAAGTATGTCGTAGCATGCTCACAATTACATTAGATATAGGTTATAGAACCATTCATTCTTGGGTGTATAATAGTTTTTGATGTATACTGACGACGCATCACGTGTTTCTACCAAGAAAATAGTAAAGACTAGGTACACAGAAAGTCATAAATACTTGGAACAATTTTTTGAGAGTTTACCTAAGCTTCCTTCACACTATTGTCGCAGCGAAACACAAAAATTGTATTTAGAATATTCTTTTAACAGTATGTCAGATTTGTATGGTGTTTATGTAAACAGTTTTTGCCAAGAATAGAAAATAACTCCTTTAGGTCGCAATGTATTCTGAAAACGATTTAAGGAGAATAATTTCACTTTATATATACAGAAAAAGACCAATGCAATATTTGTTTTGCATTTGAATATAAGAATACGACTGATTAAGTATATAGAGCTCATATAAAGAGAAAGGAAGATGTCAGAGAAGCTAAAACTTTGGATAAAGCCATAAGTGAAAAAGCTGAAATAATAGCACTAACAATGGACCTCCAAGCCGTAAAATTGTGCTCATATATACCACCGAACAAAATGTAATTTAAAACCAAATTGTCCTGCCATAACTTCACAGTTATGGCAGGACATCCACATCTGTTTCCTGTATCCTACATTATTTAGAAGAGAACTGTGTTACCGATTCCAAAACACCAGTAGTTATTTATTCTGATGGATGCGGTTATTAAAATCGTAATAATATTCTGTCCAACGCTTTACTAAACTTTGCTATCAAACATAATGTGTTAGTGTTTCAAAAATATCTTGAACCAGGTCACAACCCAAATGGAATGTGACTTGGTACATAGTATAATAGAAAGGAATCATAAAAATAAGAAAATCCATTTACCCCGTGACTATGCTTCCATAAAAGCTCAAGTAAGAAAGAGAACTAAGCCATATAGAGTTAAAATATTAGACCATACGTTTTTAAAGACTATTCATCCTCCAAACACATGCAATATTTCTCAATCCGACCAGGAAGAAATGCGTATAACCCAACCATTACTGATACAAAATGTATCAAATACGATCCAGTTGCGACCGTAGAAATAAAAACTGACCATAAAGGAGAATACTTACAAGTCCCTATCAGACCAAAGACTGAGACCTAAAAACGGAGAAATGGCAACATTTACAAGATCTAAAATTAAACATACCGAAAGATTCGCATTTCTTTTATGATGGTCTTTTACACGGATAGATCCTTTTATTTTGTTCATTTAGACATATACCTACTTATGAAATAATTTTTGTTCGTTGTTTTAATATTGTGTTTTATGATAATAAGTATTTTATATTGCCATGAATAAAACTGTTTAATTTAATTATTGTTTAATTTCAAACAATTATTCATATTATTTGGATAAAGGGGCATTTATGCTTAATTTTAATAAACAACAACTCCTAAGTTCACATTAAATTAAAATCAGTATCTCCTATGAGTAACATTACTTAAAGCAATACCTCCTATGTAGCTTAGCAGAACTAAATTCAATTAAATATTAACTTTTTCCATAAGAAGTAACAATGTCGCTTTCACACAGATCATACAACACAAGCAAACAATTAAAATATGTTAAAATTTTTTAATTATAAAGTTTTTTGTCTCTCCTGAAAAGTATAGGTAAAGTCACATAGGAGATATTGCCAGGTCTGTGGAAATACCATCATTTCTTACTCAGGGAACCACTTATCTAATACCGAAGGATGAAAATAACACCCAAGATCCAGCCAATTACCGCCCAATTACTTGTCTTCCAACTTTGTACAAATTGGTCACATCCTGTGTGGCCCGGCGTATCTACCAACACTGTGCTCTGAACAATATTATAGAGCCCCAACAGAAAGGATGCGCTAAGGGCTCCATGGGCTGCAAAGAACAACTTATTATCGACTCAGTCATTTCTAACCAGGCATACACCAAAAAAAGAAACCTTTTCACTGCCTCCGTTGACTACAAGAAGGCTTTTGACTTATTGCCGCATTAATAGTTTATAGATATATTGAAAATATATAAAGTCGATGATAATCTCGTGACCTTTTTGAAGCATATAATGACAAAGTGGAAGACTAAAATTCACCTTCAAATACCTGGTGAATCCAATATCGAAACTGAAGATATCGCTATTAACCGGGGCTTTTCCAGGGGGACTCGTTGAGTCCACTTTGGTTCTGCCTAACGATGAACCCACTATCTCAGCTGCTGAACTCCACTGACTCAGGATTTAGCATCAAAATAACAACACTGTTGTGGCGAAACTTAATCATCTGTTGTATATGGATGATTTAAAGTTAACGTCTTCCACTCGAAACCACCTAGATCAGATGCTAAAAACTGTTGAAAATTTCTCAAATGATATCAGTATGCATTTTGGACTAGACAAGCGCCGTAAACTAAATATAGTCAGAAGAAAGGTTCAGCCCGGAGGTTTCGATATGCAAGATGGCCAAAACATAAGGGGCAATGGGTGAAAACGATATTTACAAATATCTCAGAGTAAAACAGACGCCGACAATTGACCATAAACAGATGAAAACTGAACTAACTTCGGAGTTCGTGCGAAGAGTAAGACAACTAAATCGGTCATATCTTAATAGTAAAAATTTGTTTAAGGCATTAAATACGTACGCCTGTTCCGCGCTGAGCTACTCATTTGGTATTATAAAGTGGTCAAAAACAAATATAGATGGTCTTCAGAGGAAAGTAAGAACACTTCTCACAAAGGCGCAAAAACATCATCCACGCAGTGCAGTAGAGAGAACAACATTGCCGCGGTATCAAGGAGGAAGAGGACTTATGGATA